GATAGTGTTCAGACACACACACACGGATAGTGTTCAGACACACACGTGGATAGTGTTCAGACACACACACACAGATAGTGTTCAGACACACACACGGATAGTGTTCAGACACACACACGGATAGTGTTCAGACACACGGATAGTGTTCAGACACACACGTGGATAGTGTTCAGACACACACACACGGATAGTGTTCAGACACACGGATAGTGTTCAGACACACACGTGGATAGCAGTAGTGTCAGCTCCTCTGTGTAGGTCACAGCAAATGATGAAATGAAACTGGAATGAATGATCTTTATCATTTCATTCTGCACTGATCAGCTTTGGATGCTGAAGAAGTGATTAGATGCTAAACTGAGCCCATTTTATTGATGTATAGCGTACAGTCACTGGCTGTATGACAGAAGACGAGATATTTGTGATTTGTAGTTCTTTTGAAGGATAAAAATGTAAGGAGTAAAAAGATTTTTTTTTTCTTGAAAAAGTAACTAAGTACAACTATTCAGTTTCAATAATACTCAATAAATCTATAAATACATCAAAATAGTACTTAAGTAAAGTAAGCAATGTCCACCCCTGGTGATTAATAATCAGATTTATTAGTAGTAGTATCAGTAATTAGTATTAATGAGCTTTACTGATGGGTTATTGGCTGAGCGGAAGTTCACCACAGAATCCTCTCAGCGCTGCTGCTTAGCGATTTAAACTGACCACGTGACCTGATTAGCTCCGCCTCGGACGCCGTAGTGAAACGCGTCCTCCTGTCAGCCAATCAGCGGCCGAGTTTGTCCCACGCGTGTATTGTTTAAACTGCTCCGAGCGAGCGCAGCACTCTGAGCCAAACCTGCACACGAAGCTATGGCGGCTGCCGTGTCCGTTAGCAGAGCTGCGGAAGAGGAGGCGTGCTGCGCTGGGGCTGGCGTCACCGCCCGCCCGCTTTATGAACACTGTGATCAGGCCAAGTCAGAAAACTGGGCCGCTGAAAAGCGCAGGGACTCGGAGGCGGACCCGCGCGATGAGGCGGCGGCGGCGGGGAGCGAGTGCGCGCGCAGGGCTGAGGACGCGCTCCCTGCACTCAGCCCCGAGCAGGTCGCCGGTCGGCTGGAGAGAACTCGAAGAGAGTTTTACAACCGCCGCAAAATCATCATTAAAAACCTCCCCGCTGATATCACCAACCAGGCGAGTAGCTCTCACCCAGGGCCAGCGGGCTAACGGCGGTTTCTCCTGTTAGTGACCTGCAGTGAGTTAGCTGCGCTAGCGCTAGCGCCTGAGTATGGAGGAGGAATGGCTGTGAAAGTTCATTTAAACTTTAAAACATTTAAACGAGGTGATGTGTGATGGCTCCTCTGCTGGGACTAACATTTCTGTCCGCTCCCGATCGCGGAAACGATCATGAACCAGTGGAGTTTAGAGAATATATCGGGAAGCTAAACTAGCTAACGTCCCGTAATAACCCGTGCGCGCGCGCTGATTTAACCGGTGTTTGTGTCAGTCCTCACTACTGCGGATTCGTTTTAAAGTTAGATAAACCGATCATTTCTGTTCCTTTTGTGAAAAGTCTTTCTCAGAAAGTTTACAATTCATGTCAGCCTTCCGAAAATCTCGCAAAAATCTTTATATATATATTTATATATAAAAGCCGCGCGCGTGTCGCTACAGGAGGCGACATTTTGCAGGAAAACGCGCGACTGGTGTGGAATAGTGAGTGGTGCGCGTGCGCGCGCTTCGTCGTGAACGCGCCTCGGGGACGTGCGCTGTGGTGTTGATAAAAGGCCAAAAGTGCTTTAACAACAAGTTTCAGCTCCTGTTAAAGGAAAGTGCTCGACTGAAGCAGTTTTTCCCCTCGACTTTTTTTTTTATTTTTTTTTTACACAAAGCCTTGACATCCGGTTTAGAGTACAAATAAAATAAAAATATGCTGTTTTATTATTATTTTTTTATAGCTTTATCACTATAAACCGACATTACAACACTGATTAAACCTGTGGTGGCGATTCTCAAAGGGAGCCCTGTCCGTGTCCCTGTCCGTGTCCCTGTCCGTGTCCCTGTAACTCTTACTGTCCGTGTCCCTGTCCGTGTCACTCTTACTGTCCCTGTCCGTGTCACTCTTACTGTCCCTGTCCGTGTCACTCTTACTGTCCCTGTCCGTGTCCCTGTCCGTGTCACTCTTACTGTCCCTGTCCGTGTC